TCCGCCACCCAATTTTCCATCTAGTAATGTAACATCAGGCATGAATTCCGACACTAATTCACACATCTCAGTTTTATACTCCATCTCACAACTCAATAACCCGAATATTGAAACCCCCGATGAATTTGCCGACTCAGAACCATCCCCATCCAATAATTTTCATAACTCTTCACATTTTTCTCAACCCCCTTTTCAACCTATATTATCAAATAACCCTGACTCAATCACTTCCACACCCTCTTATGCTTCCCAAGTTACCCCAACCTACTCCTCATTTCATTCTGACCAATCATCTAATTCTCCAGACACCCCCCGAATCTCCCCAGAGCTAGATAATTTTATAACCCTCCAACAACAACCCTACCACCTTCACACCCCAACCATAAACCAAATCTCTTCCACAATAGATTCATCCAACCCCCCTACCCCTACACCCTCTTCAAATTATACTGAATCATTAGCACCATCATCCACATCTACTGAATCTTCACTCAACACTAATAGAGCTTACCGCACTTTTAAAAGAAAGTTCCCCAACCATCCTTTCCCAGCAAAACCAGGAACAGCTCGTGAATACATCAACCATCCCAAGCACACTAACACAAAAGAATTTTTAGCTATCACCTTACCCTCATTCCCACAATACACCTTAAACACCCCCCACGACACTAACGAAACACGCAACTTTGTAGTGAATACGTTTTAATGACCACTCTCTCTTGGACCTCATATTATCATTTTACTAACCCTCTTTGCTTACCTTTATCTAGCACTCACATCGATATAGAGCGAAATACGGACATGCTATATCGACTCACTACACCACTAACCGCTAGACAATTCACTTACGTTGGATATAAAAAATCACTAAAAACACACACTGCACCTAGAGCTAACGAATATACACTCGAATACTATGATCACAACATCATCAGAGCTAACCAAGATCAATTCTTAGACGACGATCGCTTCGCTAATCCACAAATCACCGAGAAATTTTTCATCAAGACACCATATATATTTACACTAAACATCTTCGACCGAAAGTTTGATCACATTATTTCAGAAGCACTAACAGACACACAAGCATACGAAAGTTTTAAAGAACGTTTCCAAATATTTTCACTAACCTTTCATTTCCTTGCACCACACGAAAGAGATTTGCACTGCTCACACGATATTATGTTGCGCACTAAACAAACCCACACATACAGTTATTATCGTTTCATCCAAAATCACTTTGACCTACACACACCCTCTAGACAACCACACCATCGTTTTCAATTCATTAATTCAAAATACACTTCACCATTTTTCCTAAATTTCACATATTGTATTAAAGACACTAACCTCCATGGTATTCTTCGTAATTATGACCCCATAACCCAAATGTACATCTTCTGTCCCATCACCAAGACCTTCAACGCCGAAGAATCCCGACCCTTCCTTATCCCGCACGAGTTTGTACAACCTATAGAAATCCCAATTTTAGAATTCATCCACAACACTAAATTCAATCATAAATTATATAATCTAATCCAAAACACACCTTACGAGTTTGCAGTTGGCACTGAAGAACTAACCACTATTAAGGCACTTCAATTGCTTTGGCCACTGCTTCAGACTAAAAATATCATCCGCATCTTAGCTAAACTACTAACAACTTCCGATCTCATCCACGACATCTTCCCCCACGGTTTTTTCCCCGACGACTAACAGCTAAGTATGAATTACATGAATATTACTAACTAATTAAAATATTAAAAACTCACCATTCTTTATCCATGTTTTCTTTAGATTTTTAGCCTTCATCCGACAATCACCTACAAAAACCACAAAAGACAAATAAAAATCGCAAATTTCATCAAACAATTTTCAAAAATTCTATTAATCTCTTACACTTATAAATTTATAAATTTAATACCAATGCAGTAAATTCATTTATAAAATTTTCCCCACAAGCAGTAAATCTAATTATGATGAAAATTTGTAACTTAAAATTCCCCCATAACTAGCAGTAAATTTCCAAATTCTATGCAGTAAATTAATAAAATGCAAATGCAGTACTAACCTTTTGATATTTTCATTCATTCGCACAGAAATTCTATCCACACTCGCACAGCTCGCCCACGAAGAATTGTTTAAAATAATGAATTTCAGTTTCAAGTTTTCACACTCAACAACTCTAACATAAGATAACATGTTTCAAACTTTCCTTTAACCCGGTTGGAAAGGAACCATATACTAAACAAAACTAACCAACGCAGCTTACTAAATACCACAAATCATAGAATAACAGCATGACTAAGAAAAGGAAACCAACGGTACCCAAACCGGATTAACCCAGTTTAAAACTGGATAATTTATTCTTTTGAAGACTATTATAAAGTCTAAGAAAGAAATAATAAAACACAAAAAAGTCGAAAGACAAACCCATACCACAAACAATTTGATTTTTGGAAAAAGGACATAACCAACAAGACATAAGAAAAACCACAACAAACCCAACATAAAACGTTGTCACATAACAGGACCCCTCACAAAAACCGCATGAAATCATACTCCCACTCCTGGCCTAACCCACCAGGAAGGACGTCCTGAGCATGCTCTATAGCCGGCCTAACCCACCGCGCTACATCCACGCTTTGTGACCACACTCCTATTTTTAATAAGAGCTACTCAAGGGTGAGTAACTCTTCAAAATAACCGAACTAAAACAAAAAGCTTTTGTGAAAACAACTAACTAAAATCATAATTAAAAAATATTAAACTAATAAAAGTTTTATAAAATGTAAATTACATTATGCAATACATAGATCAGAATACAACACCAAGGACGAACATCTAAAGACAAAACGACCCCACTACACTCGAGAGAGAATGGCCAACTACAATCGATATGCCACTCACAATCACAACTCAAAGGATTTAGAGTACGACTTGACTTCGCAGAAAAGGACTTCATTGAACTAGACCAATGACCACCTCGATGTTCAAGTATACGTACAGATCCGAGTAACCAGGCATCCCCTCCACGCACAATCTCCACGCCATTCCCAAGCTAGATCAGACACAAAAGAAGTTCTCCTCGAAGAACAGAAAAACCTGACATAGCCAACCATTCTGAAATCAGAATTGATTTTGTTGCAGAGACTTAGTCGTTGTCACTAGAAAACACAACGTCTTAAGTCCCTAACTCCAGCTTCCTGGAACTTCTTTAACAAAGAAGAAACGGAAGAAAATTATGATGTTCGCCAAATACCAACGTCCATCATCCATCCTTCGAATTACAGAAGAACTGTTCTAAAAAACTCTGTAAAACCCGGATGGGTGGAACCTGATCTAAACTACATTTTATGATTGGATAAATTAGATATTTTACCAATGTAAAGTATTTAATATTAACCAATCATGATCCATCTAACTAACAACCCACTTATTTGTAAGTGCTGAAGTTACTTGTAATTTCAGCACCAGAGAGATTTGAATTTAACTTAGAAATTAGTTGGACTCTCCCGAGTACTTCAGCAGCCGCAATAAACCAGTATACCCTAGATCTATTGAGCCTAGCAGAGACTAGTTAAACAACCTGAGACTAGATAGTATAAGAGTAAGATTAGGATCGGTATTAGACTAAGAAGTTGCACGAATCTATCCGGCCGAAAATAAGATAGCGTGACGAGCAGACGGTGTACCCTATCCGAAATTACTCTATGAGTTATACACTCCAGTCCTAACTCACTGAGTTGATGTCCTTAAAAACCAAGGCGCAAGCAATCATTAGGAGAAGGCTAGGTAAAACTGAGCATTCAAAGTTAAATTTCTTTCAATTTCAAGCTCTGTACAATTACTAAATGCGGACTCTAAACCAAGTTGTGTTCTAAGCTTTGCAACTTTGTGGATTAACCAACTTGAATCTGGAGTTCAAAAACAAATTCCAATCGAAAAATTGAACCTTGTGGAACCCGGATTTTCTGCAGATGCCGCGAACAAATGGCTATGGACAATTGGAGCATTGAATTACTCTTTTGGAGCATTGAATTACTCTTGAAATTAAACTGCTGACACCAATTGCAAGCGCTCCTTAACTCGCTGGCTCCGGTGCTATGAATACAAACTGGACAGTAGTTAATTCGTGACAGTTTGTGTTCCGACCGCACTTAAAGGTGTCAGATTTTGCTTTTGGTAAACTGACTAAAAATGGTTATCATAAAACGGTGCAACTCCGCGCTGATTAAATATACCATTTTGGCCAAAACTGCCAAAACTTTTTAACGCGAATAACTGTACGAAACGGTTCCAGCTACTAAAATATTTGGTAAGCATTAAGCTCAGAACATCAGTATTATTAAATATTATAAAAAACTGCGTTAAGCCTGTTATTTAAAAAGTCGAAAGAAAGATATTTAAAAATCTTTTTACTAATCGGCAATTAACCGACCCGAGCTTGAAAAATCCGCAGGTACGCTAGTTTTATAAAAAACCAAACAATCTGAAGTTTTTGGTATCCATAACAGCGAATGAGATTGTTCCAATCAGGGCCAAAATTCATGAATGTTCAGTCTACATGTTATCGTTTCTTATGTGGTTTTGGCAGAAATAGTTTTAAGCAAATCAGTTTATTAAACCCTTCACCCCACACGCAAGGTCAAGAATAAAATAATTTATTTTGCGGTTATTAACGCAGTATTTGGACCAACTAGCTTGTCTCAACTCATTTTGGAATAATATATCAGCCAATTATTCATCGTCTACCCCACGCGTTGGTAGTAGAAAATTGAAAAAATTCTGCGCATTAAACACACAAAATGAACTAAATTGTAAATTTTAATTTTTGAGTCCTCAAAACTCGAAAGGACAAACTCAGGACAAACTAAAGGACTTTAAAACTCAGGACGAAAACTTGCGTAAAAATTGTCTTTTGAATCAACTAATAATGACTTTTTAATCTAACAATTTAGCACAGGAAGGAAATGTTAGCGAGATGAGATTCCACTAACCTCTCCTGGACTGGGCTGGTCGGCGATGAAGTTTGAGCCTAGAAGGGTGAGGTTGCACTTGGCACAGTAGAAACACTCGCAGTGCCAGAAGTGGTCCTCGAACATCAAGTACCTGTTGCCACTGTCACCTACAACCAAAAACAACCCAGTTAAGTCTGTTGGGCTAATTTCTGTGAAACGACCCAAAATTACCAACTTACCAATTGAGCGTCTCTATTTAATGGAAGGAATCACATTTTCGCTTTGCTAGAACTGATTTTAACTTGATTTCAACCATATATGAGCATTGTGATGCAATTTTTTCTAATTAAAAAAAATGCAGTTTTGTACGCAAGGGTGTAAATTACGACCATTCACCCGCTTAAGGTGGCATTTTTTCAAATAGAGCTTTTCACTGGCAGCAGGCATCTAGTCCTGCATTTTCGTAAGAGTTGTTTGTGCTAATTTCCAATTTGCAGAATGGTTGTTTCAAAAGAACAATGAAAGCGTGAAAAAAACGAAACCTTAAATTACGACTCCACAAGTGCCAAGAACTTCTATCATCTGTTTAAAAATAATCAAACAGTATTTTAAACAATATCTGAGAACTCAACGTTTCGTATTCTTTTACTGAAATTGAAACTCTGATACGGAGCCTAACAGAGAAACTCTAACGAGCGGGAAAATTATGCGCGTTCTGATTTTACCGCCCATATATCTTTATCAGCAAGGATTATCTACAAGCAGGCATAATTTCTGGAAAAAAAATTAAATTTATGCAAAAATAAGATTGCATCTCGCTCTTAAATACATACTATAAACTTCAATTTCATGATTTACAGTTGCAATCTCTCATTTGCAGATGGGCGGAATAATTTATTGCACAGAGTAAGAACTTATGTTAAAGACAGGTCTTCTTAGTTCAAAGTCAATGGACTTCAAATGAACCCTTAAATTTGCCTAAGCTATTTATTCCCATGATAGTCAATGGGACCTCACGTAATCTATATCGATGGGGAATTTGGCTAAAGTTTCCGCCTCTCGCTTGAAAAAAGTCAAATATTAGAGGCTTAACCAAGATCGTTGCTGGAAATTGAGGCAAGATTATCAAGCCCAGAAAAGTGAGCAAAAAGCTGCATGTATGAAATGTAAGCGGGGGCACAATATCAGCAGTTCTGTGTGATAAGCTTAGGAGATCTTGCATGGTCCATTTTCCTCGTGGATGAATAGTCGTAATTTACACCCTTGAGCCTCGAGATGCCCACTCGTCTAGGAGTTTGATCATGTCGTTAAACTTGGGATTAAGAGATAACTCAATAAAAGCTGAAATATGAGCGAGCTACCATTTGAACTATAGCGAAAATGCTAATCAGTTCTTTTATAACAAAATTTATACAAAACTTATAGAACAGATATGTAAAATGAGGCAAAGTAAAAAAAATGCTGTTTCTGTTATTACAGTCTCCTTTTTGACTTGTTTTTAAAACGGATGATTTTCCTTAATTTTTAACTATTTTGTGAGTAGTCCGAGTTGAAGTCCCACAGTTGATCATTGCTGCTTAGGACTAAAAATTCCTATTGTGGTAGTCAGGGGCGGATCTGGGATTTTCACGAGGGGGATGTCTTTTCAAAAAATTTTCGAAAATTGTCGAAAATTTTTTTATCCGCTGGTGTGGAAAACTATTAAATGATAGATGTCAGTCGCCGTTTTTACATATATACGACTTTCATTACATATTACATGTAGGATTTTCAAATATGGGAGATCAACCCGGTCGTGTATTGATTACTTTACCTTTTATGGGCAAATTGCATTCATAGCACTTGTGTGCGTACTTTTTGCCGAAACACTCGGAGCATATGGGGTTGTCCTCGTGCAGCGTGAACCTCTGTCCCGCTAAAATGTCCCCACAGTCGCTGCAGGTGAAGCATTCCCGGTGGTACGGCTCCATTCTGTATGTCACGCCATTCGCTTTGATCGGCTAAAAACCGGTACATATAAAAATGTCAAGTCAAATTGATGCGGTGAAAAAAAAATGTTCACTTTTCATTCAAGCGAGTCTTTGGGGTGTCGATGATTAGTTAATTCAACCAAGCTGAAATTCAGCTTCAAGACTATTAAATTACTAGGCACACATAATTCAGCTGCCTGTGGCAAAATAAAGTCTCGAAAAGAGAACAAAGAAAAGAACAAAGGAATTGGAAATTGTTTTTCTTCATTTCTTAAAATTATTATTCAAAGTCAGTGAACCACCTTAGATAGGAACGTTCCAAAGAGCATACTCTGTAAATGTAAACTTGTTTCCCGCACTGACAAAAATGAGTGCATCAATTTAATTACATTTCAAATTAAATTTAAATCAATCCACACGATAAAAAATGAACCATTTAAAAATTTAAATGGAATTTAAATCGATTCAACAAATCTATCTATCCGAAAAAACGTAGTCTCAATTTTAGAGCCTGAAACATCGATTTAAATCAATCCGAAATCAGTTTTGGTCGATACTTAGCATATAATAAAATTTGGTAAAACCATCCGAAGCTCACAGAAATCGACAACAAAATTAGAAGAAAAAAAAATTTGGTAACCCATCTGAATCTAACTCAATTTGTTAGCCTTAAGCAATTTTCATGGTAGCAATATTATGGTTTTTGCTAGAAAATTTGAGCACAAATTGTACTCGACAAAAAAGTTGTGCTAGTGTTGCAGTGATTTCACAGTCGCTTGAGGATAGTCGTTTACCGCAAAACATTAATCTCGGGGATTCATTTAGAAATTTGGGAAGGAAGGGATCCATCAATGTAAGTAAATGTAGGCAAAATATGTTCAAACGATATTTTTAAGATTAAATTTTAAGTGAAAAGCAAACAACAAAAAAGTTGTTTTTCAGAGTAATCAGAGTAATCAGGGTAGTTTTTGTTATTCAGTCATTTTCGACCTTTTAACTAAATATTTTTGACTGAAAGTTTTGTACCATTCAAAATATATTTTTGTCTGGAGCTCAAAATTAAAAATATATTTTAATTTTGATCAATTTATTCAAAATTTTGGGGGTTTGAAAACTGCTAGTTTGGTTTGAATAAATTGGGACAATTAACGCGCAAAGTTTTGCACCCTTACAGCCACGGCGCGACTCATGTCGAGACTTTTCAGACTTTAGGTCCGGACTTTCCAGACTCAAAATTTCGGTGCGACTAAACAATTGGGGTCTCAATCCGAATGCTGCGCGATCCCTACAAAGTCTGGACATGAGTCCTTGACCCGAGTTTACTCAACATTTCAACCAATTTTTTTTAAATTGGCCTTAAAATTGCAGTCAAAATATGCCATTCTGATATACGAACAGCCTTGTTAGAGTTATTTGGATAGATTTGAAGCAAATTTAAATCCATTTTTCGTCTAAATTCTTTTTTGTCACTTAAATTGATCATAAACCATCTTCGTCAGTGCGGGGTATCTGATAGCTATTACCGTGAGAAAATTATACAAACCCTTTTTTGTGTACAAAATTTTTGTGTTCCGTTGGGTTGGGTAGGCAAAAAGTCGATGTCAGGTGAAAGCAGATATCACCCTTTGGATGAGGGCGTCTAATTCCGCAGGGTGTTATTCGGGTTCGCCCAATATGATTTCATTCCTGGGGCTAGGAGTTTACCTTGTTTTGTCATGACAACAGCTCCGGTTTTATCATGAAGTTTACCTTTATTACTATGAGAAGGTTTACCTTGTTTTGCATGACAACAGCTCCGGTTTTATCATGAAGTTTACCTTTATTACTATGAGAAGAAAGTTGCATATATGCAGGAATAAATTACGTCTTTGCACTTTGTGCACTTGACGGAGTAGAGGTGGTCCCAGCATTTCTCGCAGTAGGCCTTGTTGTCGTGGGGGTGGAAGGAGTCCTTGCCTATCACCTCACTGCAATTGGCACACTTGAAACACTCCGAGTGGTAGCTGTTCCCGTTCCACGTCAACTTCATCATGCCTACATAAGCGAAATATTCCCAATTAAAACGTATCATGCGTACATAGCCCAGGAGAAAAATTTCAAGGCGTTCTGAACATTTCAATGCGTTCTGGAAAGGCTTTGCGTTGGAAAATTTTGCAAATCGCAGGGTTAGAAAAAACCCTAATTGACCTAACACAGATTTTTATGCCAAAACAAGAAACAAGTTCTTTGAAAATTCGACGAGACCATTTTGGCAAACTGTATTTAATGTGTATGATTAATAGTTTTTCATAGATTTAGTTTATGCAATTGTATGATTAGCTTTTTCGGTCTATGGAGGTCAACCCGGGTGTGTGAACAGATACACGCAGTGAACAAAATAAACTTAACGGACTCTTGATTAACACTTCAAATATGAAGACACAACTCGATAGGCAACTAACTGCGGCCTTTTTGGCGTTCTTCCAACATGGGATATTTTGTATGTATGTTGCAAGATCCTGTTTCTTTTATCTATTCCCTAGCAAGCTTCTTGCACGATAACCTTTAAAACTTACAAGATTTCGCAAGTAAATAATTCTTCTGTGACTAAGGACAGTGGCGTGCGCAGAAAGTTTTCTAGGGGTGGGGGGTTTCAAGAAATTTTGAAAATTTTGCGGTTTTTTTTCTAGGTCGACCATATCGACTTTCGGAGCTCTCCAAAAATACTGTAAGGACCCTTTTTTGTCAAAAACTTTGTGCGCCGCAGGCAAAATTTAAAAAAAAAACAGGCCAAAAAATGGCGTTTTTGGGCACTTTTGACAAAATGTTGACAAAAAAATGCGTCTTTTCGGCGCGCGCTCCTCCCTCAAATTTAGTTATATTGGCGCCGCAGGCACCTTTAGAAAAATTTTGAGGTTGGCCAAAAATGGATATCGTAAATTATACCAAAGAGGGACCCTTTGGAAAAATGTGGCAAGGAGACCAGGAACCAGCCACAAAAGTGACCGCTTTTTTAAATACATTTTTCAAATTTATCGCCTGTTTGAAAACCGAATGGGCGCTCGAAAACCGAATTCAAGATTTTGTATTCCAGGTTAATGTTTATTATGATGCGGTGAAAAAAAAAACAAAAAAAGAACCCATCAAAATCAAATCTTTGTAACAAATCAACTGAAAAAATGATGAAAATACCGAAAACTTGACGTTTGTGTTACATACCTCCTTTAAAAGGCTCGTTGCACACAAAGCACTTGGGTGCAAAGTCCTTCTCGTAACAGTCTGTGCAATAAAGTGTCTCTTTGTCCTTCCCCACCCCGAAGTTCTCCCCCACCAGGGACTTGCCACAGTCTGGCTCGGAACACTTGAAACACCTGTCGTGCCAGTGCTTACCCTTGAACGCCAAATCCTGAAATCAAAAAAGCTAGGTTAAGTTAAGACAATTTATCCTCAAAGGAAAATACCAACATACAAGCTGTTCAGCTCTTAACGGAGAACTGCAGTTGTGCAGACAAATTAAATGTCATTTTTGGTCTAAAATGTTTGCTTGGTAAATGTTTCTGTGGAGCGCTGGGGAGGTGATTACGTCTATGCCTCTCATTGGAAAAGCTCGACGCCAACATAATTTGTGCTCGTTGCTTGAGCGTGAGGCAACATTAACCAGTTCAGAAAAATAGCAAAAAAAATGCATACAGATCTGAAAAACTGTTAGACATATATGCATTTTTTTGTTATTTTTCTCAGCTGGGTTGTGTCAAGCAACGAGGGCCTCGAACATACGACCTTTCGATTGAGAGGCGGAGACGAAACAACACATGAATATAATCAGCAGTTCAATCACTTCAATAACTTGAAGCCTTGTGTGTTGTGTCTCTATTATTAATAGCTGGATCTGAATTTAGAGTGATCATACTTTACCTGATCGTCAACAGTAATAGTGTCGTTACATGATTCGCACGTGTTCGCGAACAGCTCATGATAGCAGTTCACACAGTATGAATTAGCATCCTTGTTCACGAATCTGTACCCTAGCAAACTCCTGTTACACTTCCAGCAGCAGAAATCATCTTCCGAGTTATTGTTTGACCCCGGTTGACCTTTGCCGCTGGAGTCCATCTTGTCAAGGTCAAACATGTCGGTGTTTCCGCTTTGAAGTCCAGGACCTTGGTCGTCGTCAAGAACAACCATGTCGTCATCTTCGCCGCTCGGCTTTGTGGCTTGACTTCGTTTTTGATTTCGCTGTAAATCAACCATCAACAAGACTTTCGTAATTTCAAAATTAAGGAGCAACCCTTTTTGAAAGATTTTTAATTTAACTTTTGACATATTTGACGTTAATTGAGCCTTGTTACTTCAGAATACAGAATATTCAGCAATTCAGGAACTCACGAGAATTCAGCGCCAAAGACTCTTTTAAAATTTTGAGATAAGTTACATTTTAGTACACGTAGCATATCGACGAATGAAAGGTCATTAACATTATGGACATAACAGGGGCGGATCTAGGATTTTCTCCACGGCCTTTCAAACATTTTTCAAAAACTTTGTCGAAATTTTTTCCTTTTTTAAGGTCGACCAAATTGATTTTCCGAGCTCTCCCAAATCACTAAAAAGACAAATTTTGGCCAAGTTTTTTGCGCCGCATGCAATTTTTTGAAAAAACAGGCTAAAAACGCTAAAAAAGTTTTTGGACAGTTTTACCACCCCTCCCTCCTATTTTTTGGTGCCAAGGGTGCCGTTAGAAAACTTTCAGGACCAGGCAGCCAAAAAAAGAATCTTAAAATAGTTCCCTTTGAATATTCAGGGGGTCGAAGCCCTGAGGGAAGTCATTCGTTCGTTCGTTTACGTTTTCTTCATACGTTTTCTTCAATTCCGGTTGCCAAATTTTACCAAAGGGTCAGTCACCCTTTGATATAATTTTACGAGATCTTTTTTTGGCTGGTCAGCATCAAAACTTTTTTGAAGGAGCCTTCGGCCCCAATACATCTAAATTTGTGCAGCACGCTTCGAAAAATGCAGTTTTTTGGTCAATTTTTTTTAAAAGTGCTCAAAACATCATTTTATTTTAAGCCTGTTTTTTTTTTATTTTGCCAGTGGTTTTTTTTTGAGAGAGCTTGGAAAATCAAATTGGTCGACCTAAAAAAGGTCGACAAAACTTCCTTTTTTTGAAATTCGCCCCCCTAGAAAATTTTGGTAGTTGTTTTATTAGTGTACAGCAGTGGTGTATGTTAGTGTACTTAGTGTACAGCACTGGTAGTTTTTTTTTATAATATCGTGCATTTCACTAACGTCTCACTAACGTCTCGAGTCACGAAATAAGAAAAAAAAACCACTAAAAGGAGAAAACAGACTCGCGAAACGGGTAAAAATATACTCACGGCCAGGCGCGGATCTAAGAATTTCACGAGTGGGGGGGGGGGCAAATTTTTAATTTTTTGTTATTTTTTTATCGATCTTTGTTTTTTTTTAAGTCGACCAAATTGATTTTCTGAGCTCTCCCAAACCACTATAAAGACCCTAATTAGACCAAGTTTTCTGCGCCGCAGGCAAATTTCTCAAAAAAGGCCAAAAAAGGCGTTTTTAGTCACTTTTCGAAAAATTTCGACCAAAAAAATCACGTTTTTCGGCGCGCGCTCCCCCCTCAAAATTAGTATAGACTACCACCGAAGGCGCATTTAGAAAAAATTTAAGGTCAATCAGCCAAAAATGGATATCTCAAAATAGTACAAAGGGGACCCTTTGGGTCGACAGGGGTTCGAAACCCTGAGGAAGGAAAGCGTCCGCCCTCCCCCCCCCCCCCCCTACGCCCTCCTCCGCTACTGCTCACGATGCAAGAAAAAACTTACAAAATGAGAAAAAAGCTCAAGTACGTTAAAAAAACAGCACTCAACGTCCGGAAAAAAAACAGACTTACGAAACGGGTTCCTATCCTTCCGAGTGCCACCGCTACTTCCGCCCGCTCCGCTGCTTGCTCCAGGCTGTCGGCCTTCGCATTCAAAGTCGCTGAAGAAAGGTCATAGTTCTCTTCTGAAGCACCCTCTCGGTTCCTCCGAGACCTCCGGGAGTTCGAGGCGGAGTTGGGTTCCGAGACGTCGGTGGTGGTTCCAGATGATGGTATGTCAGCGTCCACCTCCTGTGCACGTCCTGCTCTGCGCTACAACAGTTTTACGCTATTTAGAAATTCATGAAGAACACTTTGAGTTGGGTTCGGTGGCGCTCACTGAATAGACGCGTGAGTAATTCGAATCACGTAATAATTACTTTAACTTCGACAATATTCATAAAATGAAGTTTTCTAGGGCTGGAACAAAATTTTATGAATGCTTAAGGGCTCATTTTTGTTGTGTCAAAAATGTACTTATATTGCGCAAATCTGAGTTGTAGTATTGCAAAATACTACACACACACAAAAGACCATTGTCTTAATTGTTTATTTAACGACCCAATTCTAAATTGGAGCGTGCCATTTAAATTAAAGCCTCTTTTCACTAAATCAGATATTGACTGATTTACTCTTATTAGGACTATAAAATCTTGTTTTGAAAATCCACTCCTTTTTGAATACTTGTCCAAGTTTTCTCATTTTTTCATACTCAATATTTGAAAAGGGCGGCGATTATTAATACGTCCCTTTTAACTTAACTTGAAACAAACTGGATAAACATTTCGCAGTCTTGCCGGCTGCACTGAAATTCTCCTTGCTTTGATTAAGCAGAGATGCACCTGCAATATGATGCATCAGAGAGAGTAATATGAATTTTTAATCAGACAAACTGAAGGCTGCGGTTTTTATCAAAGGGGACTAATAAGTTGAAGATATTTGATTTGAAAAAATCAAATAAAAACTAGTTGAATATTCCCTTATAAGAAAGGGAGAACAAAGGAGCAGGTGAAACCTGAAAAATTAAAGATTGAATCAGCCGCCGGTTTATGCTTATGAGCAAAAGGACTGGCCTGAAATCTTCAGTGTTTCATTTTGCTCAGTCAGCAGCGAGTCATTTCTCTTCAGTCAGATCTTTTAAAAATAAATAATTTTTCTTTTCTGCCCTAACACTAAAATTAATCTAGCCCTTTTCATTTATAAAAAGAGAATAAATTCTCAATTTAAGTTTGATTCGAAAAATTATAAATCGAAATAATCGAGATACGCACCCCCGAGGAAGTCTGGACTACAAGTACCCAAAGGACTACGGCAAGACGATTCAGACGACCCAACCAGAAATGCTGACTTGGACAAAATCAAGGGCAACCATACATACTAATCAGCCACCGATCTTAGTAAGAAGATAAAAAATTGATGAACAACATAAGATTAGCTCAACCTCCCCTCATAGGTATATTTCTTTAAGCTGTTCGATTCGTTTATATAATCTAATAACCCAGTGCTTTGTAATTAACCAACTAATTAATTCATACCTTTTCTAACTATTGTTTCTACTCTACTTTTTGTCAAGACAATTTGACGATCTAAGGTGAGACTTATAATTTAGGATAAAATTACTAAGCATTCAACCAGCAATGAGCGCTTAGTAAAACTGGTGCGACCGCAGCAGAGAACTACTCCTTAAGAAATTCTTTTTCCAACAAACTAGAAACAGCTTTTAAAATTATAAAAATATATTATTCTTAGGATCTGTGAGTATTTGTCAGATTAGTTTCCAACCTCAAAAAGCCAGAGACAATGGGTATCTTTCGATAGAAACACAATTTCATTGTCTTCTACTTGACAGATATTCCTGGTAGGGTTCTTGCGAAATGCATCCCCTGCGCTAGCAGTCGCCCACGATATCCCTCCATCTCGAGGTCTATTAGACGGCTTTCTAACTGACATTAGCTCATGAACTTAACTATTATCTATTATTATAATAATATATAAATTTTCTGAAAGAATCGTTCTCTGCCTAAGTCCGCTAGTAAGATATACCCGTTTTGTCCAGTAATCCACTAAACTTTTGCCGAATCTTCAGTTTAAAGTTATCATCACTAAAATTAACGAAATTCTGTATTAAACTAAAGTGCTCAAAAACTTATTAAATATCTTCAATTCTTTTTTCGAGGGGGTTAAGTGGTCATATGTGCGATCTAAGAGTACTCTAAATTGTATGATAAATGGATTTCTTCATCACATTATCTCAAACCATCCACGCTTGTTGCTATTTATCCTAATCCTTCATCAATTCTCGAGGCTTATCCTCAAATTTTCTTAAACTTATTTTAATTCTAAACACCTTAACGTAACTTAAACCTAAATCATCCATCAGTAAAGCTACCAATTACTGAAACTAAGGAAGAAAATAACAAAAACCAAAAAGGAAGGAACGGATTTGAGTGTTTTTTGATAAATCATTAGTTTTTTTTGACACAGTTTAAATATACACCTAATTAACAATAAGATTACGCACTAAAACCAATCTTAAACGTTAACCACATAACACCAAACACCAAGTTTTAGTTTCAGCACAAAAATATCAGGTTTTACAACAAAAACTAAGTTTAAAACACTGACACATCCATTTTATATTGATAAAATAGGTTTCATATGATAGCATAAGCAATAAAAAATTGATTTTTACCAGCCAAAATTTTTGGTTTCAGTCTAGGTTTCAGTTAAAGGGTCAAACGTTTCAGTTAAAATAAGTATAGTTTCCGGTCAAAATTTTAAGTTTCTGTAAACGGATTCGGGTAAAACAGCAAAAGTTGAACTAGTCAAACCCAAATTTGGATACCATAAGTCAAAAACCTGGTCTTAAATGGTACGTTTTTGTTAGTTTCAGGTTTCAGAACACAAAAATTGAGTTTTTGGTCTCAAAATTGAGCTCCGAACGCCGAATTTTGTCTTTCTAGAGAAAACTAACGGTGTTAAAACCCACCAAACCAATTTTAAATTTTGGTTCCTAAGGCTGAAACGTACGTTTCAGAATTGGTGTTTTTGGTTTCAGAACCAAAAATCTTGCTTCCCAAGTGAAATTTTTGTGAAATATTGAAAGATAATAGGAATACTTAATGCACTAACAAATTTTTAAACTCAAAAAACTTCTAGAAGGTGTTAGTTTGAGCCCTCAAACTTATAGTTTCAGAAAACTAAAATCCTCGTTTTAGGCTAAAATTTTCATCTTTTTGGCAATTTTATTGCTGGAATAGAAATAAATCAGAGAGACCAACCTAAATTTTCAATCTCAAAACTCTAAAACCAAGTGGTCAAACCATAGTTTCAGTTCTAGAAATCGTAGTTTCAGCCCCAAAAACTTAGGTTTCCGCAAACAAATTTTGATTTTGAAGTTACAAACCTGTTCAAAATTCTAATTTACACTAAACCAGCTATCAAAAACCAACTTTTTATTTTCATGCACCGAGTTTGAGAGAGTTTAAGAGTTTTAGGTTTGAGTTTTCAAAAACTAAGTTTAAGATATCAAAAAATTCGGTTTTCTCGAACTTTTTTGCAAGGTAAAGCGAAAACCAGATATCATACAGCGTATAGAAAATTTTAAGATTAAAAAAATTCAACTTCAGCTACCATAGTTTCAGGTTTCAGATTATCGTTTCAGTCAAAAAATTTTCTAAAAATTTTTAACCAAAAAATTAAGTTTTGAACCAATAATAACCAATAAAGGCATATAGTTATATTGTTAACCATACCATAGCATCAACAAAACTTCACTTGAACAAAGTTTCAGGTTTCAGTTAAAGTTTCAGCGAATACAATACTTGAAAAACTTAGAAAAAATTTTAGAAAAATTTTTTTTCCAAAGAAATTTTTTTATTTCCTTATCTTATTACTTATTAATAACCTTTGTTAATATTTAATAATTCCTAAGAGGTTTTCATTACTCTAAAACATACTAATCAAATAGTACAACTTAGCTCAAGAAAAAGAAAACAAACATCGTAAAAATTAATGTCAACAAATTTTAAAATTGACGTCAGTACAATAAATTTAAAACTCAAATTAGGAAATAAAGTCTCTAACATCATATGGTAAATCACTAACACTGAAAAAGATCATATTAGTATACTAGCAAAACACCCTAACGACGATAAACACGAATTATACGTCTTTTTTTGACGATACACTCCAGAAATTGACACAATTCTTAAGCAAATAAAAATACCAAATAAGATAATTTATATACCGCAAGTACGATTAATTGCTTCACTCCCGATTGCTTTTTGATATCATGATATACCCAAGCACAAAACTACTTGTATTTTAATCATTTTTTATTAACAACACAAATTTTTCCTTAACAAAAAATAAATCATAACAAGTTCATAAGAAAAATTTAAATATACTTTATATTGTTTATCATTCCCTAAATAAATATTTATGTCCCTAAAATGATGTAAAATGCTATGACCAACTTTTATCAAGTAAATACAACAGCATTTCATTTAAAACTAAAATTAAAATAAATCCACAAAAATTATTTGGTATATCACCAATATCCAAAAAGATCAAATCACAATTTTGTCCAAACACCCACACAAAAATATTCACGAATTAACCATTCTTTCCAGCAGCAATACCCCAGAGATAACTTCCATCTTAAAAAAGCTTAATCAGCCCCATAGCACTATTGATCTATCTAACAAAAATTCGTATTCATTGAACCCAGCAAACTTCATTGTAACTTAAATACAATTATTTCAGTCCGAACAATTGATCAGTACACAACACATCCAAAACCCTTTATATATTGTTAACAAAACATTGAGTGAATTAAACAAAAATGGCAAATGTAGTAGCATACCCAGATTTAGCTCTCGAAAAGTTTACCGGCTTAGACCCGAATGAAGATGCAAGAGATTTTCTTGATATAGTAGAGAAAAAGATAGCATTTTCCCTAGGCACTAGACCAGGAGATGCAGGTGACGAACAAGACGCATATGATAACAGACAAAGAGCCTTATTTGGTTCAATATTAAGAGGTCCAGCCGCTCAATGGTATCAGGGATTAGCAGCAAACTTACCTTGGAATGATATAAGAGATCAATTCATAGATAGATTCACTGATGATAAGGATAAATATAGGAGACGAATAGAAGCAGAAAACATAAAAAGACAACCTGATGAATTCATTAAAAGCTACATACATAGATTAAGCACCGCAGTAGACCGTGGATGGCCTAATCCAACTTTTAATGATGATCAAAGAA